GTGATATTGGTAGCCCTGACGAGGGTTCCGCTCGTTCGCTCGTTTAATCTGCTTGGCCTTCCTATTGTCGTTGCCATCGACACACACGACGTAGCGAGTATTTGTGAAAATATCCGAATAAACTAGCCAGTTTCCTTGAATGAGCCGATAATGCCCTAGTGGGGCTCGAAGGCGAGACGAAGAATAAAACAGACTTCGGGTTGACAGCCGCTCAACCAGGGCTTGCTCGGCAGACCCAAGCAAGCGTTGTCAATACACCATCAACAAAGCTAATATTTGGTCTCTTAACTCCCTTTCTCCTTTCCACTTCCGCCTTTCATTTCATCGTTTACTCCAGTTGTTTTACAACACCCACAAAGAAAGGTTGGGCTCAACAGCCGCTTTTGAGCATAACGGACTTTTGCGAGACGGCCACGCACATACCACACACTTCCTCACAGCGACTCGAAAGCGCTGTTGTACACTCGTAAGGGATTCTGCTATTGGTCTATCCGCTAATCAAAGCCCCGCCCGACACGCTGGGGCGAGCTATACTTGGATAGCTAAATTTGTGTGGTCCGCACCCCCATTACTCGGGAAGCTCAACAGCGAAGCAACCCCATTCGAACGTCTTTATAAAGGACCTGTTTAACTATTCACTGGGCTATCATCCTCTCCCGCACCATCCGTGCACCCGTTCCCCTTTCATCGCAACCCTGCGGTTTGACTGGTCGACCTCTCTTCAACGCCCACAAGTCAGCAAAACTCTACGACAACCTACACCTTAGCCACCTTGTGTTACCGACTTTCCAAGTCGTCTGATACACAAGATGGAGTACGAATCTCTTCTCCCAGGCGGCGTACGCAATACGTTCTCGCGCCGAACAAAATCGTGCTCCCCAACGACCATTTTCTCGCGCCCAGTCCTCATCGCCATCTTCTCCGCGATCAGCTGCTACATTATCATCTTCACCTTTGTCATTTCGGATAGCTGGCTCAGCGTCAAGGGCCACAGCTACTTCTTCGGGCCACCCACAGAGAGTGGCCGAAACGTGTCGGTGGGCGAAAAGGATCACATCACCATCACCCAGTGGCAGACCGAGACCGAAATACGATACGAAACCGTTACGACGACTCGGGAGCCTACTGCGCAGGAAAAGGATAGGCTAGCTTCTCCACCACATTTGGCGGTGGAAGGCTTGCTCGAAAAATCTCTTGACGAACTCAAGGATATGATTCGACATACGAATGGCTATTTGGCTCGAGATTGGTCCTTGGCTTTGGGCTGGAATAATGTATGTACCTTCCTCCAACCCGTTTAGGGAGTTCAGCTCACGATGAATGGGGGGATTGTAGATGAGATATATCATCGAAGCCGCGATACTAGACGCCAAATTGCTCAACAGAACATTGGTGTTGCCTTCTTTCATTTATGCAAGGGGTTGTGAACATGACCAGTACGTTTCTTGTATCTTTTCGCTGTATACCCTGGTTAATGTTTGCATGACAGGACTGTGTGCTCTCTATATGCACCTAGGATCAACCGTTATACTTCTCTCGGTGTCAATGAAATCAAAGATTGGCCTGAAGAAAAGCAATGGGGCTGGCGGATCCCAATAGAGATGATGATCGACGTCCCATACTTGCGCTCTCCACACGACAACTCTACTTCCTCGCGTCCAAGACACAGTGTCATCTTGACCTCAGAATACCTACTTCTCCAAGGTCTAGATCATACCCGAGAGGCGAGTCGTGGGAACTGGGATCGCGGGTATTACCATTCCGGAGTCGATTTCGACTCGCAACCCGAAAGTGGTATTGAAAGTCATGGACCTGATCTCGGAGTCGTCCGGAATGACTGGTACGATCCCACTGGTATCGTTCGTGTCGATAGAATCGAAGGCTTGGATGATCTAGTCGGTCGTAGAAGGAGTCTCAAGGCCAGACAGGACGCAGCTATTGGTGATGACGAGTGGGATATTGGGTATGATGACACGGAGGGGGGTCTGGGGTCGAGTGAGGGGCAAGTTGCGCCCGAAGATCCACCGACGGACGAGGCTCCTTCACCTCCGACTACCACTGAACCGCCCGGTTCGATGAACATGATTGGACAGCAGTATGCTGCGAGGTTGCAAGACGAGTTGGCGAGGAAGAATCAGCAAGTTTTGGACTGGAGCGATGCTCGAAGGATACTCCAAGAACTTACAAATGGGATTGTGCAGACGCAAGATTTTGATGAAGCTGGTTGTGAAAGACTTCTCAAAGCTGCTGGGTGGATCGTTTTGCATACTTGGGAGCCTGTGTAAGTCTATCTTGACTTTCATTCTATCTCTCACTAAATTCTCTTTCTTAGTCTGGGAATGGAGTTTACCAAGACTGTCGTCAAACCTATCCGACAGGTTGCACCTCTTCCTTCTCTCCGATCACTCACCCTCGACTTTTCGTTCAAGCGATACCCACAACGCGTGCTCTTGCTCGAAGGCGAGCTCCACCTCGGACGAAAGCCGGGCGGACTGAGGTTCACAAGCGTCGCGGCTAGAGAAGACTATGCGCGAATCGTATTGCAGGATCTGAGACCGCCGGAATGGGTGCACACCCTTGCCTCTCGGTTAATTAGGAGGATGGATTATGTCCGCAACGGTCGCGCTTGGCTCGCGGCCCATATGCGACGAGGAGACTGTGAGTGTCGTTTTGATCGTTTTTAGGATGGTATTGACCCGTGAATAGTCACCAAAGTCGGATGGGCTATGGAACCAGC